ATTCCCCATCTCCACCACCATGCCGGGCAATCACTGGCCTTCTTACTATCACAATAAATAAGTATTGCTGGCTGTGGAGTGCCACAGAAATGGAATCACAGTATGAGGTTTTTAAAGTGAGGCTTCCTTCTCTGAGTTCTCCTTCACAAAACCATGAATAGAATGTTTTTCATATTCATCCATATTGTTGCATGCATTGGTAGCTTGTTCCTTTGCATTGCCAAGTAGTACACATTGCATAGACAAAATACAAGTGTGCTTATCCATTCTCCTATTGATCAAGACACTTGACTTGTTTCTTTTGTTAGTACTTAGGAACAAAACTGCTAAAAACATTTGTGTACAGATCTTGTAGACATGCTTTCATTTCTCTTGGTAAGTTATCTAGAAGTGGAATTGCTGAGTCAGCAGAGATTTTATATATATGTACATATAATTAAATTCTATATATATAAAATTAAAACAATCAACTATATTACATTTAGCAGAGTTCAAATCACCTTATTTCCACTTGGATGTTTAAAAGAAAGAGATGACATGAGTTATAGACACAGCTGGAAAGGGCAAGCTAAGCCCAACCCCTTGGAGACCAGAGCTTTCTCTATGCACTGGAAAAGGGCTCAGGACTTGATCAAGAAGCGGCTGGAAAAGAAATTAAGAGGGGACGGTAGGTCAGGCAGTAGGCAGGCACTGTAGCCCTACTCCACTGCAGCCTCCTCCAGTGAACACTTAGGTTAAGAAGTCACGCTCTAGGTGGTCCCAGGCCCATGCCTCTCAGTCTAGTACAGCTTTGCAAGAAACACTACTCTGATACTCAGCTGTGAGTTCACAAAAATAAGGCTATAGTGCAAAGAAGTGCCCAGGAAAAATTAATGTGCAAGAACTCATCAGCATTATGCATTAGGATCTAATTGGGGTAATTTCTTTAACATTCCAGTTGTTTTTCCTCATTTGAGGCTAATGGTCACCCTTGACTTTGGCTAGATTAAATCAGCTGTAGTCAGCTAAATGCATAGCAAATGTAAATAATGCCTTATCCTGTTTTCTTTCTCTACAGCTACTCACATACCAGGGGAAATTCCCTAGTTTAACACCAAAAAGTGATTAAGCATTGGTGTAGCAGCTTTAAAAATGTGTAATTTTATTTTAGACACATACATTCTAGATTAAAAAAAAAAAAACAAATAAAAACTTGCTCTGGGTGCTGAAAGTTTGGAGCCAAATCTAAACCAAAAAGATCATTGGGAAAATAACTAACCACTTCAGAGTTCATCCACAAAATAAAGTCTCCTGTTTCAACATTTCATGATTAAGTTACATGATCACTAATCTTGCACTTCCCATCATTCTAATGAATTAGCCAACCAAAATTTTCCATTTTCAATTTAACATGCAAGAAAAAAATGCTTCTTAGAAGATGTGCATTTAAAAAGAAGGAAAAAAGAGAAAGTAATATTGTATAAAACATCTGGCCCACCTAAGTCTACTGTGTTTTTTTTTTTTTAATCTTAGAGCTTATTATGGAAATGAGAGTAGTGTTGCCTTGTAACATGAACCAGATGATTAAGGAAGTAGATTTGATAATTTCTAGTTGGGCCAGCAAATTTTTACACTGTTGACCACAGTGAAACCTCCATGACGAAAGACAAGCAAGAGGTAAGAGGGACACCAGTCTGAAGCAGATGGAACCCGTGGCCACGACCACCTTGGGAGTTACTTGGCTACTGTGCTTCATACAAGTTAGCACAACAGAGAACCCTCACTTTTTCAAAGTTCAATTCACTTGTGTATTTGTTACGAGTCTACTGTTCCTACCCATCACCTCCAAATACACACATTTATAGGGAAATGGAAAGGGTACTACACTAGAAAGGGGGAATCATGGGACCCTTGTGCAATTTACCAAAAATCTTTGGGTTATCTATGAAATGTAGTAACATGTACTTTTCCTATCTGAAGCCAGGAGGCTGGGTCCAGCCTTCTTGACCTGAGACCACCCACTCACTCAATATCCTGTCCTGAAATTTCTTGTTCATATAGAGAGATGGCTATGGCCCCCCGCAGAGGAAAAGCCACTCATATCAGATGCTGGACAATGGCCTAACTTTCCCAGTTTTCTGCTGTTGGAAAGAGAGGCTAAGTGTTATGCCTATGTTTCCAAATTTCACTTTTGGAAAATAACAAATAATATATTAAAGAAATTCCTAAAGAAGGTATAAGATATAAATCCACCTGGTAGCACATATTTGTGAATGATGTCTGTTTCAAGATGGCTTCCACAGCACCATTTTAAAACCTGACTAATGCCAAGCTAATGAAGGAGGCAGCACTAACTAACAGGAAAGTTTCAAGTGCAAATCTGGGCTGAGATGATCAAACAATACAAGCTTTGCTACCTTAATTCTCAATTTGAGATAAGCACTGAACTACTACAAAAGAAAACTGTTATATCATTGTGCAGTCACAAGGACACACCTCATTGACCTCAAATACAGCGAATGCAGCTGGCCAAGGACCTCGCTGCTGGGCCCTGAAACCCACCCCTGCATTGTCTTGGAAGCTGGCGCCAGGCCTCTGATGCTGATGCTGCCTGAGAACTGCCTTTTGCCTTTGCTGCTTTTGGCTGCACAGTAAATGGTCCATATTTCCACCGAACCTTCCCTCTCCCCACTTGGAGTAAGGTTTTAATAATGCTCTGACGGTTCCTCCACTATTTTCCATCTTCCTCTCATGCAGGCATCTTCCCGAAAAACAAGCTTGCAGTTATATTCCTATCTTGGCTTCTGCTTCTTAGAGGTCCAGACGAGTGTATCGTTCATTAATTCATTCACCCACTCATTCATTCATTTATTGAGTATCTGCAACGTTACTGACACTTTGTTCTAGGCACTGGGGAAACTGAGACCACCTCCTCTGAAGGGCCATGACTTCTCTACCTTCACCTAGTTCTGTGTGCTGGGCAATGAGCTAAGAGCAGTACACATGCCTACTCTCAATGGCTCTTCACAGCAGCCCTGATTAAAGGAGGTATTATTTTTGAAGATTTTTATTTATTTATTTATTTGAATGAGTTACGAGAGATAGAGAGAGAGAGAGCTCTTCCATCCACTGCTTCACTCCCCAGATGGCCACAATGGCCAGGTCTGGGCCAGGCCAAAACCAGAAGCCAGGAGCTTCTTCCAGGTCTCCCATGTGAGTGCAGGAGCCCAGTACTTGGGCCATCTTGTGCAGCTTTTCCCAGGCCATTAGCAGAGAGCTGGATCAGAACGGGAGAGGCCTGGACACTAAGCAGCATCCACATGTGATGCCAATGTCACAGCTGGTAAAGCTACAGCACAGCACTGGCCGTAAAAGGGGATGTTGTTATTCTTGTTTCATAGATCAGGAAACTGAGAACTGGGGAGAATGAGTTAGCAGGTGCTTCCCCAAGAGCAACAGCTGTTTCATTGCCAAACTTCATGCTTTTCATGGCTGGGCTGTGATGTGTCACCTCCCTTTAGTGATTGCTTCGAGTATGTTTATTTTCTAGTGGTGACTGCATATACGAACAGCTGATTTTCCAAAACTTGGCTTTATTTCTTCAATTTAAATTTATGATGGCCACAGGAGCCATCTACAGAAGAGGGGACAGTGTGCTAGAGCGCTCACCGTCCTACTTGTCCTAAGTCAGGTTAATGATAATATCACTTGGTCCTCACCAGGTGGGAGTGTCCAAATCCTCCCACTACAAAGGAGATAATGGGCACAGATGGACACTTGGCTTCTCTGCCTTGCCTGCTGGGTACAGCCCAGCCTTAGCAAACTGATGGCAGATAGTTGCATATGAAATCCATATGTAGTTTTTCTGATCCAACATGGGAAGTGAGATACTCAGCAGACTCATAGAATGGCGGATGTCCTAAATAGCACTCTGGCCTCAGAATCAGCCCTAAAGGCACTCGGATCTGGCTGAAAAGCCCATGAGAGTATTTCAGGCATGGAAAGCCAAGACACTCTGGCAAAAAGATCTCTGTGAGTGAGATCCCAGTGGAAAGAACAGGTCTTCAAAGAGGGAGGTGCCTTTCTCTGAAGGGAGGAGAGAACCTCCACTTTGACTATGACCGTGTCTAAACAAGATAAGAGTCGGAGAACTCAAGGGGCTTCCATAGCCTTGGAAACTCATGACTGGTGCATAGGGAGATTACTGATGCCATAAACAGGAGTGTCAATTTGTAAAGTCAACAACAGGAGTCACTGTGCACTTACTCCTCATGTAGGATCTCTGTCCTTAATGTGCTGTACATTGAGGCTTAATGCTATAACGAGTACTCAAACATTATATTTCACTTTGTGTTTCTATGGGGGTGCAAACGATTGAAATCTTTACTTAATGTACACTAAACTGATCTTCTGTAAAAAAAAAAAAAAAGAAAAAAGAAATTATCAATTCCCAACTTGACTCTCACTGGGATTAAACATGACAATAGGTCTGATCTGATTTCATCATCATTTTAAAAAAAAATCAAATCATCTATTATTTTTCACTTTATGTTTCTGTGTGGGAGCAAACTGTTGAAATCCTTACTTAAGGTATACTAAGCTGATCTTCTGTATATTAAGATAATCGAAAATGAATCGATGTGAATGGAAGGGGAGAGGGAGTGGGAAAGGGGAGGGTTGTGGGTGGGAGGGACGGTATGGGGGGGGTAGCCATTGTAATCCATGAGTCGTACTTTGGAAATTTATATTCATTAAATAAAAGATAAAAAAAAAAGAAATCCATATGTAGTTTTTCGATAATACACATTTTCAAGAGCTTTTTGAACACTCCTCATATGCGGAATTTCAAAAATGATTTGCACCAAAGTAAATGTTTTTAATTGCATTTCCAAAGAATTTTCTGAAGTCTCCTTGTACACCAGGACTTTTCTGAGAGTCCAGCCGGGCTCACTGCAGAGCCAGCCACAACAACCCAATTATCAACCGAGAGCAGCCTTCTAGAAACTAATGCAAACACATACCGTGATGCCCAAGGTCAGCTCTGGTGTCCTCTATGCCTGACTCACGGTCAGCATGGCCCGGGGAAGTCTTTGGAAGAAGCTGAGACACAGGCAGGCCCTCTGAAGTCGGTTGATTGAAGTCCTTGTGGGAGGTAATTAACAATTCTTGAGAGGCTGATAGACGGAGGTAGCACCACCGCAAATGAAACAATATTCTTGTTGAGAAGAGTGTTTGGAAGCAAAAGCCTACCTCCTCAAACGGATAACATTTTCCAAGTTAAGGAGGCTAACTTGGGGTAAGAGAAACAGCCCTGAGTCAAAGAGGCAGGTGACACTGGCCACGCATTTAGCCTGCCCTGGCCTCAGGCAGCACCATCATTCTGAGAGTCCAGCTGGATGCCCAGAGTGCAAAATGGAAGGCCCTCACTTTCAGTCTCATGCAAGTGCAGGCCCCCCCAGCAGCTGAGAGCCTGGGTCTCCTTCAGTTTTTCACTCAGGGGATCCCATCCACCTTGCTTCAGCCAGCCCTGCCCATTTCTCCATCTCAAAATTAAAGGTTTTGGCTTGAATGACTTCAAGCCAAACTTCTAGCTTTCTTTAAAAGTTCTGTGATTCTATGAATTCCAGTTTCCTAAAGAAAAATATCTATGAGGCCAAATGATGAAAGAATTCACATCAAAAAATACAAGTTAAGTTTTCCAAATATATCAATAGGTATTTCAACAAATCATTTGCACCTTTTCCCCCAGTTTTATTTGCATATTTGTGTTTGCAACCTAGAGCTGATGCTGAATGGACCCATTTTCCTTGATGAATGGCTTTCATGAGGAATTGCTCCAAGAGTGTCTTATTAAAAAGGAAATTAAAAGGAAAGTTCAAACTAATTCTAAATGAATAAATAAAATGAAGCCATGCCTCATGGCAGTGTGGCATCTGCGAGAATGTTGTCATAAAATGTTCTTAAGAAATCTGCTTCTGTACTGTGTAACAATTATTTCAGAAGGTGCAACTGACACCAAATTTCAAAGGACCACTGACAGCACCCAGAGTACTTGGAGCACAAAGAACAGAGATGGCATGAAATGTGGCTATGTGCGTGCTTCAGAAATTGTTAGAAAATGAATACATGGACTCTCCGTTGGCTTCGATTTTGAGGTTCTCTTTGAAGAGTCAGATGGAGTTGTAACTGCTTCTCTTAGAGGACATGATCTGATCTTTCATCCATGACCACTCCATGTATGGAGACCCAGTCTGCCTTGCCCAATTCTAGCACCATCACAGCAATCTATGCCACGAGATAAAAGACAAGCTTTGTCCTGGGTATTGTGGAAGCCAGTTGTTTTTAAGCTACCAGCCTTCAAAGAAATGGTGCCTAACAGGATTCCACATTTGACTGAGCAGTAAGATTCCAAAGGCCAAGTTCAGCCAAGCAGAAAACGCTTGCCACAATACAAGGCCTGTCAGTGAAGGTCCGGAAAACAAAGCAAGCCACTCTCCTAAATGCCTTCAAAGAATTTTTATAACACGTCTTAAGAGGTGTCATGGAAAGCCCATCCACTCTCCTAACTTCAATTCTCTTCCTACAACTGCTTTTGAACTTGGAAGTGGCTTGCTTCAGTTAGCTGGAGAAAAGGAAGAAGAAATAGAGAAGAGAGCCCCAATTAGACTAGGAAGAAACTCGATCATAAATACATGCATGGGCACAGGGCCGGGAGGCAGTCAACTCCGAGAGCATTTTCCTCTTCCTCCTTCTTCTCCTCCTTCATCCCACTTCCCCTCAGCCTCTTGCATCTCACTAATCCAATTGCTTTCTTACATTTTGGTTCATCTTTTCAGCCCAATGATGTCTCTCCCTAGGATGTGCAAAACGCTTCAGGCCCCTGCACAGTGTGAGGCTTCCCCTCTGCTTCTTCCTTTGTTCTCTGAGAACGTGCAGCCGCCTCACTCCTGGGCCTGTGGTGGGATTAACTGCACTCTTCCCTGCCTGGCTGCCTCTTCACTCTCCCCCTGGGGTGAACAACAAAGTCTTCCCTCAGGTCACTCCTCCTCTTCTATGCCCACGAAATGTCCGGTTCCCTAAAGAAAGGAAGAGCTGGTCTGTTCACGGATGGCTGTGTCCGGTCTTCCTTCCTTCCTCTGGAGGTGAGCTGCTGCCTTCAGGAGTCCCCACTTTCTTCTGTTCGTTATTAGTGAGAGTGCAGTCCTGGGCCAGCAGCACAAGAATCAGCAGGGAGTTTATTAGAAATGCACCAGCCCAGGCCTCAGCCCAGACCATTTGAGTCAGAATCTGCGTCTGAACAAGACCCAGGGGACTCAAGTGCATCGCTGTAAGGGAGAAGGACTTGGAGAATAGTCACTTGATTGTGGACCCCAGAGCCTGAAGAGGAGGTGACATTTGAAAGAGAGAAGGTGAGAGGCTAACAAAGGGCCCGAGGGGGACGGCTGAAGCAATAACACAACAGAAGGCCAGGAGCCCTGACTACTCAACAACCCCATCTGTAGGCCCAGTCCAGCTGGGAGAGCAACTGTCCTCACACAGAGCAGATACCAGAGCCACGTAGCTGCTGGAATGTTTTCTTCCCCCGTTAATACACAAACTTAATAGTCAAGCTCTGGAAAGCTCAGGGCCAAAGATGTCAGCAGTACTGGGTCTTCTATGATCAAACAGCCACCATGGCCTCTGGCCAAGGTCAGCGTTGGGCACCCCTCCTGCTCCCCTTGCTTCTCACTAATGGAAAGGCGATAGAACTGGGACAGTGATGGGCTGGGGATTCATAGGATCTCTGTGAACTCTCTTTGTCTGGTTCCTGTGTTCTATGAGATACAAATAACAAAGTCTCCTGAGATTCTGCCTGCCATATGGCCTCAGGCTCATCTTCCATTATTTCAGGGCCCCTAGAGGACTCTGATCTGTACTTCAGAGACAAGACCTCACAGTGTAGTTACAATGCTAGTAAGAATGATAACAGAAATTTTAAAAAGACAACACAAAATTATGATCTTGAAGAGTCACAGAGGAAAAGCACAACAGTTAAGTGAATGATAAGGCACTCATATTTAACATCATACTTGGAACTACATTTTTATTTTCCATATGTTAACTTCAAGAATAAAGAGTGCCATTTAACTTTCATGAGACAAAATATTACCATGTCTGTACTTCCCTGTTCCCCATTGAAAGGGGTCCCTGAGCTTTCCAGGAAAAAAAAAAAAGCATCCCAGTTTCTGTCACTGAATGAACAGGTGACTTACACATACTAATGAACACAGCATCCTTTCAAACACGTAAGTCTCTGTCAAGATCTGTGGGGTAGCCGGTGCCGCGGCTCACTAGGCTAATCCTCCACCTAGCAGTGCTGGCACCCTGGGTTCTAGTCCCTGTTGGGGCGCCGGATTCTGTCCCGGTTGCCCCTCTTCCAGGCCAGCTCTCTGCTGTGGCCAGGGAGTGCAGTGGAGGATGGCCCAAGTGCTTGGGCCCTGCACCCCATGGGAGACCAAGGATAAGCACCTGGCTCCTGGCTTCGGATCAGCGCGGTGCGCCGGCCACGGCAGCCATTGGAGGGTGAACCAACGGCAAAAAGGAAGACCTTTCTCTCTGTCTCTCTCTCTGACTGTCCACTCTGCCTGTCAAAAAAATAAAATAAAATAAAATAAATAAAATAAAAAATCTTTGGGTGTGCCCTTCGCAGCCATATGAGGACAGAGAAAACCAGGGAGAAGACCCTGCTATGGGTCATCACAGAAGGCCAGGCCACGTGTGGAGGCTGAAGATGGGCACCCGGTTTGCAGAGGGCTGGGCTGTCTCCACCAGTGGTGGCATCTTCAAGGAGAGATCCCACCCTGCTCCTCAGGGATGCCCCTGACCCATCAGGTTCAACAAGCAGGAAAGATCCCATCTCTAGAGTCTCTGGGGCTTGCAACAGACCCAGAGTTTGATTCCATTTGGTGAGGGTGCTAGGTGGGTGGAAGAATAGGGTAGGGTTGAGCACCTATCCCTAGCATCCCCACTCTGTTTGCTAAACCATCCAACAAACACAGGGGACCCTGTCTGGCCCAACTTTGTATTTTCAGGACTCTATAGTGTCCAGAGCCCCTAAATAACTAAGAAGACCAGATCACTGTCAACTCTTGCTTGGAGAAGGGCAGAAAACAGTGTTCCTAGGCCGTTGCCTGCTGAGTGAGCTCTGTGAAGGTCTCCTGCACACCTTAGGTGTAGCCCTCTGATCACTAAGCAGCAGCAGAATTAGCACACCCAGGGTAGGGAAATTATCCCAAGAGCCTCAGGGGCTTGTTCCTTCGTAGAAAAGGAAAGAACCTCAGGTGCATGGATCTGCAATGAATGAACACTCAGAAACTGAGATAGGAAAAGTTCTCCATGAAAATGATTCCATCCCACGTTGTTTTTACCAACTGTGAGGCTGGAGTTGATATCCATTGCCCATATATGACCTCACAATGACCACCTTGAGATCCATCAGAGCCTACTCCAAGACCCATGCAGACATATTCAACCACTAGAGAAAATGATATTTGGTGCTGAAAAATTGGAAATATATATGGAAGACATGGATTTGGGATCCATTTTTTGTGAATCTGCAAGATTATACATTATTTGATAATGCATGGTAGCTCTGCAGAGTTTGAATGTTGTTAATAAAAAACACAAAGATATGGATGGGAGACAGAAAATAAAAGCAAATAAATAAATAAACAAACAAACAAAAAAAAAAAGAAACAAGACAGAAAAGACCTAAGGAAGTAAAGCAGCAATAACACAAGTGAATTTTAAAAATTGATATGCATACCAATTATTTGGTTCTGCCAAGTAATCTTCCTAACCCATTAGCTACACACTCAGTGCCAATTCAGCTATTTAGTGCATAGTAGGCACTCAATATTTGCTGGATGAGTTAATTGATCCATCTGTAGATACAGCTGTTTTGAATTGGTGTATTCTAGAATCTTCCCTGGAAATGGGCCATCTGAATGGCTTTGTCTTCTACCAGTTCTTTTGCTTACCTAGCCAGTCCCATGAATCTGAAGCAAGAAAAGAATTCATGTAACATTTAAAATAAGAAGGTTCTTACACGGGGCACATCACTGCTCAGCTGCTCAAAGTTCTGAGATCTCAGTTCTTGCCTTCGTTTGGTGTTTTCTTCACATTTTCCTTCCACAGTCTTTCTGCATATTTAAAGTGAACATAGAAAATTAACTGCAAATTGTTAAAATCGTATCTATATTATACAGGTAAACATGATCCCTGTCTCAACAGGCAGAGTGGGATGTAAGCAAGCCAGGCTCTCAAGTCTCACCTTAATCATGGAGACTGCTAAGCAGCACCCAGCTGATTCTCTTTTTTTTCTGTTTTTTAAAGATTTATTTGAAAGACAGTTACAGGGAGAGGTAGAGGCAGAGAGAGAGGTCTTCTACTTGCTGGTTCATTCCTAAATGGCTGCAATGGCTGAAGCTGCGCCGATCCAAAGGCAGGAGCCAGGACTTCTTCCAGGTCTCACACACAGGTGCAGGGGACCAAGGACTTGGGCCATCCTCCACTGCTTTCCCAGGCCATAGCAGAGAGCTGGATTGGAAGAGGAATAGCCAGACTAGAACTGGAGCCCATATGGGATGCTGGTGCTGTGGCACAGCAGGTTAAGGCCTCTTTCTCTCTCTCTCTCTCTCTTTTTTTTTTTTTTTTAAGATTTACTTATTTATTTGAAAGGCAGAGTCACAGAGAGGAAGGGAGAGACAGAGGTGGGGAGGAGAGAGATCTTCCATCTATTGCTTCACTCTCCAAATGGCTACAATGGCCAGTGGTGGGCCAGGCAGAAGCCAGGAGCCAGGAGCTTTATCCAGGTCTCCCATGTGGGTGCAGGGGCCCAAGCACTTGGGCCATCTCTTGCTGCTTTCCCAGGCACTTTAGCAGGGAGCTGGATCAGAAGTGAAGAAGCTGGGGTGGGGATGGGCGTGGGAATGGGTGCCCATATGGGAGGCCTGCAATTGAAGGCTGCTGCTTGACCTGCTGTGCTGCGATGATGGCCCATCATTATCTTTTAAAGCACACCTTTCTCATTCTTACAAACCCTAAAAGGCAGCATAAGAAGACAGTGCTCATCCCCTAGGTTCTTGTGTGTGGCCCCAGGGGCTCTAGGTCCTGATGCCTAGCACAGGGCCTAACACATGAACTCAAAAAGTGCTTCAGGGTGAAGAAATCCAAAAACCGGGAAGACAGAGCTACATATCAAAGAACTCATGGCAATTATGGGAGTCATCGTGGAAGGGAATTTTCCTACAGACACCCTGTCTGCTTTCTCTGCTACAGGGAAGTTCAGTTTAATAGACCAGCTGCTAAACTGGAGATAAGGTTTTAATCTTCATGATCCCTTCTGTGTTAATTTTTACTTAAAATTTTTGTTGGAAAAGGAAGATGTTCATACAATAAGATATTTTTAAAAATTCATTGAATGTTCTTTTGGTCAAATTATCTCACACATAAATAGGTATACTACAACCCTCCTGACAAAGTCATTTTCTAGCTAAGACACATGATCCCTCTTAAATCCCACAATTATCACAAACATTGCAATAAAATTAATTATAAAATTATGACAAAACTTTTTAATTGTGTTTAATTAAAAAATTATTAGTGTATCACATGGAATATTTATTACTTTTGTGTATAAAAAGTTTGAAACTGAACAATTTGTAATGTGCACTTGAATTACTAAATTTGCCTTTTTAATCTATTCCTGCCAAAGATCAATTTTCCTTTTACCCTTAACCAATGACATGAATCATAACACCTGAAGATAATGCTATTTCTGAAGTGTGAGAAACAGATTTGGAACAGTTGAGTGGAAGCAATAGCTCAAGTTACTTTTGTGAATATATTTTCTCAATAAAACCCACACTCCATGCTTTAGAGGTTTACAGAAAACAACTTGTACTGGCTTCCGAAAGCAGATATATACATATCTTCCCAACTGCACATTCAGTGATATCACACAGGTGTTGAAATTGGCCATGGCGGGAGTATTTATATCACAGGAACAAGAAGCCAATCAGCAGAACTCACATTTATCAGAGCCAGCCTATGTTAACAGGGAACAGTCTCATGGATTCTCACTGGATTCATCATGATATTCAGGTTAGGACCAGGACATTTCTAAATCACTTTCCAGACAGATCAACAAGGTCACAAAGTGAATAGATTTTTCTCTCTCTAGCTCTTGATGGGGCTTCTAAGGTACCAAAAAAGTTTACTGACAAACAAAATAAAGAAACTAAGAAATTGGAAAAATTAACCAATTGAAAAATTCAGTCTTTCAGGAACTGAGAGTCTAGGGTTCTTTGAAATTCCACTATATATATGTTTTCCCCATTTTATTAGGTTTAATTGACAATTAAAAATTACTTAGATTTGTGATGCATCAAAATGTGGTGCTTTTAACCTGGTGCTTTTAACCTAACCATCACTTTATATGCTTACCATTTTTGTGATGAAGATATTTAAGATCTACCATCCCAGCAATTTTCCAAATACAAAATACAGTATTAGTAACCACAGTCACCACACTGCATAAAAGATCTCCAGCACTCACTCCTCCTGACTGACTGAAACTTTATACGCTTCCGCCAACATCTCCCCACAAGACCTCCTTGTAATCATTCTACTCTCCACTTCTAGGAGTTCCACTCTTGATACCACAGGTCAGTGAGATCACTCAGTATTTGTCTCTGTGCCCGGCTTATTTCATTCTGCGTATTGTCCTCTAGTCATCTGTCATTGCCATCTATGTCACTGCAAGTGACATTTCCTTCTTTCCTAGGGCTGAACAGTACCCCACTGGGCATACAGACCACATTTTCTTATCCATTCATCTGCTGATGGACACTCAGGTGGATTCCACACCTTGGCTATTGTAAATAGTGGTGTAATAAATATCTCTTCTGCAACAGACTGATTTCTTTTGGTTAAACATTCAGAAGTAGGATTGTCAAGTCATGTGGTAGTTCTATTTTTCTTCTTTTGAAGAACCTCCATACCATTTTCCTTAACAGCTGTACTAATGTACATTCCCAGCAAAGTGGTGCACAGGTCCCCCTGTCTCCCCATCCTGGCTAACACTTGGAATTTCACTTCTTCACATAAACTCTCTCTTACGCTCGTGATATCTCCCACCAGCACCACTGTCCTGAGCACAAGCTTTTCCAAAGGCATCACTCGACAGAACAGTGCTGTTTGCAATTCGCTTCCTTCTGAACGCCTATAACCTCTCCTCCACGTAAATCAGCCGTGTCTCCTGGAGGCTGAGGCACCGCCGGCACCCAGGGAACAGCAGAGCCTTCTTTCCAGCCTCTTGCTGGGGCAGGTGCAGAAGATGTCAGCAACAATGAGGCCTCATTTGGAGACTGGCCCTATCTTCATCACTAATAACCTCCTTCATACTCAATCTTCCCCTTCACACAAGACTGCAAGCGTGATGCTAATAGTACCTGGCATCTAATTTATGGCTCAATAATCATCTTTGGAGTGAATGAGTAATTGAATAAACAAATAAGAGGGGTCTTCAAAAAGTTCATGGAAAATGTGTCTCATGAATAAGTGATGCATGGACTTAAAAGTTTTCTTGCACCAAAATAAACATCTTTTAATACCATTTTTTCCACATGTTTTTAAAGTTTGCACGTGTAGAACCATATGCATTTTGGCTTTTTCTCTTTTTCCAGTAAATTCCTTTAGGGCCCCAGGCACTAGCCCAGGACCCAGGCACCCAGTGGAAGGAAGGCAGTTCTCAGCAGTGGCCTGGCACCTCCTGAGCCGCCTCCTTCCTCTTGGAGTCATTTCAGGCAGCCCTGCAGAAGCTGCAGGTAGGGGTTTTGTTTTGTTTTGTTTTGCCTATAAATAATAAAAATTCCCCACAGGCAACTCATCCCAAACATGCTCAGCAAATATTTTACAGAAGAATCATTGCACTACTGAGAGAACAAAACGCCCTGAGACCGGCCAGGCCAAGAAAGACTAATAAACTCTGGGGAGGTAATGAGCCAGCCAGGACTGCAGTTAATTGGTTCTATTTCTCAAATTAGATCTTTGTTTAAAAGCAAATTATGTACTTCCCAAATTTCTGCTCATTTTATTGCCTATGACTGGATTGCATAACGTGAGACAGCTTAGGATCCTGGCTGTCAGAGAAGAGGAGGGTTGGCAGTCAACAAGGACACAGTTCCTTGAAAGAGTCATCCCAACTCCACCACCGCTCATGAGCTCCGCGGCTGAACCTCGCTTTTTTCCTCTGTCAAGAATACGCGACCCTGAGTGTTACATGAGACCAAGTACGCATGTCTGGCACATATAAAGTACTCCAAATTGTCCTACTGTGGTAGTTACATTGTATTAAAGACGTCTTATATTCTAGGCTGAATACATACAGTTGACCTTTTTTTAAGATTCATTTGATTAATTTGAAAGACAGAGTGACAGAGAGAGAGGGCGGGACAGGCAGAGGGAGATCTTCTTTTATACACTGGTTATAACTCCCCAAATGGCCAGGAAGACCAGGAGCCTGGAACTTTTTTTTTTCCCATGAGGAAACCAGGAGCCTGGAACTCCATCTGGGTCTTGCACAAGGGTGGTAGGGGCCCGAGTTCTTGGGACATCGTCTGCTGCTTTTCCATGCAGGGAAAGCAGAGAGCTGGATTGAAAATGGAGCAGGCAGGACTAGAACCTGTGCTCTGATATTGGATGTCAGCATTGCAAGCAGTGGCTTACCTGCTCCACAATGCTGGCCCCATACACTTGATATTTTTATGGGAGTCTAGGGCAGTGGTTAACTGCACAGATTAACACTCTCTGGATGCAGATCTCAGCTCCCAGTTTATACCCTATGTTCCTTTGTACAAGTCACTTAATCTTTTATGGCTACTTTTATGGCTACTGTAAAAATAGTAACTGTTTCACAGAATTGATCTACATTTAAATGAGTTAATTTATGTATAGTGCTTATAACAGGAGCCAGTGCATGCTCAGTAGGCTAAGCCTCCACCTGTGGCGCCAGCATCCAATATGGGCTCTGGTTCATGTCCCGGCTGCTCCTCTTCTGATCCAGCTCTCTAATTATGGCCTGGGAAAGCAGTAGAAGGTGGCCCAAGTGCTTGGGTCCCTGCACCCCAGTGGGAGACCAAGAAGAAGATCTTGGCTCCTGGCTTCCGAACAGCTTTGCTCCAGTCGTTGTGGCCATATGGGGAGTAAGCCAGTGGATGGAAGACCTTTCTCTCTGTCTCTTCCTCTCTCTGTCTGTAACTCTACCTCTCAAATAAATAAATAAAAAAAGAAGGAAAGAAAAGAAAATCTAAAACCTGCTTACAACAGAGCCAAGCACTGGTCATTACTCATCAAAATATCATTCAGTGATATTACTTAAGAAACTCTTCAATGAAAGAAATGTACTTGCATCACTCTTGTATTAAAAGGCTGCAACCACATTCTCAATGACATTACCTTCTGTTCCAGCCTTGGTCACAGCCCAACAGTTCACAATGCCATTTGCACTCGATTCGTTTAAGAAATGCTATCAGAAAATGGTAATTGTAAAATTGTACAACTGAAAACCATGGGTGGTTCTCATTCCTCTGGAATACTATCCAGACAAGAGCCTCCTGGGAACATGTAATTTTCATCAATACACATCCCTTATTTCGTAAGAACAAATAGATATTCTTAAAGTGTAGCTGTACCGTAAACCCTGAAAATAACAAGGGCTAATTGAAATCAATATTTCATAATGTGAAATAGCGTCCAAACAATTGGATTCTAGTACAACATTAACTGCAAACAGTGTCAGGCAAACTGTTTTGCAACTGTGATGTAAAATGAGGGCTAAAATTAGTCGAGCCTTTTAAAAAAAAATATCTACTGCTGCTATCTCTCTAGTTAATAAAACAAAGTTTGAAATCCCAGCTTTTCTTGAAGGAATTTTCTTGAACCCAAGAAAACCAGGTCATTAAGAGCATGCCTAAAACCTTACCCCCAGAGATGTGGCTTTTTTTTTTCTAATAAAAAAGAAGTGTTTATTTAGGCAATCAACTAGATCATAATGAATAATGCAATATACTAATGTAATAACAGATGTTCTCATGCGTTTATCACATTTATAAATATAAGCTGGCTTACAGGGCTGCTTGGACAAATTTGGAAAAATCTATTTGGCAATACAGTGAAAGTTAACAGTGTTAAGACTATTCAACAGATTCTCTTTTCTATCATCTTAAAAAATACATCACCTGTACTTTAGTGAGTAAATGGTAATGTTTATTTATAGTTTCTACTTTCTGTAAACATGCCAGACTTAAGCCAACTGTCAAAGGACCTGGGCTAATTATTTATTTATCAATATCTCTAATGGAAACAGTGTTCAGTAAAGAATGAACTCTTCTGTATTTCAGTGTGGCAGCTGCTGTATAACAAGCCAGATCATTCACACAATAAAATGTGCCTGAATGAATTAAACCTAAAGTATAAGTTTATAAATAGCAAATTTTATACTTAACACACAAATTCTATAGCATTATTGTGCCTGTAATTTAATACGTAAATGAACAATTATCCACTGCAAAACTGAGAAACTCTGAATAAAGCTTAATTTTGCTCGTAAATTTCACACACACAAAGGGCAAAAATAGGATAACATTTAACATAAAGCTTAAAATAAATAATGTAAACATCTTAAACACTGAAAATGTGGTTTTGCTATTTACAGTTAATCAATGATACCAGTGTTTAGTTTAATTTAGTCAATTACCAGTCTTGAATCCTTTCGATGTATTATTATTATTTTCCTTATAAACTCTTAGCCAAACGAGCATAGTGAAGGAGAAGGACCTATGGTCCAGAATAATTCAATGTATGGCCATATGTGGTTTGGAGACAGCACTTAATAGGACTGTCATCTGTAGCAGGGGATCTTGAACCCACAATAACCTCAGTCTCTTCTATATACATCACCTTTCATTGTAATGTGCTTGAATCTATTGTAGTGGTAGAGAGTAAAGGATTCTGGATCAATTTGATTGCCTCAATCCATTGTAGTGGAAGACAGTAAAAGGTTCTGGGTCACTTTTGTCCTGATCAGGAAAAAATTCTTGAAGAAATGGACCCAGTAGTATGAGTGCTAATCCTTCTGGATCTAGTTTATTCTTAATGAGATGTATGTATTAGGATCTGAAACATGATCCGACACTTCATGACGTCTGCTAGAAGTGAATCAGGTATTCATCCACTATCTTCTGGATTGGAAAAACATCCTAACTTGTTTAGAAGGAGGCTCAGGGGCAATTAAAGCCATGGTCTTAGCAAAAAAAAAAAAACACCATGAGATGCATTTCACTGCCACCAGTCTAAATAGGGAATTTTGCAGATTTCAAGTAAGAACCAACCTTACAGTATCTTAAAGCTTCCTATAATGTTAAGAATCTCATAGCTGCTTGTTATGTACACCAAGAAGTTTTATTCCTGAGCATTCTGTCACCATCCCGTTCACTAGAAACAGCACGTCCATCAGTAGGAGATTCAACTTTGACTGCCATGCCCATATACAGGATCTATTAAAGGCTCACTTGTATCTTCAATTTCACTTTTTATGTTTTCAATGTCCTCTGTCAGTAACACAGAACATAGAAAAATCAATACTCCAAAATTGTTTCCCCACTTTGAATACTGGTCCAAATAGCATCTTTTAATTCTGAAAAACTGGGGCCAGCACTGTGGAGTAGAAGGTTAAGCCCCTGCCTGCAGTGCTGGCATTCCATATGGGCACTGGTTCATGTCCCGCTGCTCTGCTTCCAATCCAGTTCCCTGCTAATGTGCCTGGGAAAGCAGCAGGGGATGGCCCAAGTGCCTGGGCCCTTGCACCCATGTGGGAGATATGGAAGAAGCTCCTGGCTTCTGGCTTTGGCCTGGCCCAGCCCTGGCAGTTGTGGTCATTTGGGGAGCGAACCAGCAGATTGAAGATTCTCTCTCTCTCTCTCCTTCCATCCTTTCTTTCCTCCCTCCCTCCTTCTCTCTATCTTTTTCAAATAAATAAATATTTTTTAAAAATTCTGAAATATCTTTTTTTGAATTAATGCATGAAATCGCTCAAAGCCAAGTTCTTCAACAGTCAAGGCAGAATCCAAGAAGAATGTTCCACTTAGCAACCAGACTCTGCAGGACTCTGAGAAATACCAGCAGTTTCTTAGGCTGTCTTTCCTCTTAACCATGAAAGCAAGAAGTATGATCCAGAATTGTCACTTCCTAAAATACTGCATTTGGTATGACAAAGGAGTTCCTTATGCTCTTCTTCCAGAAGTTATTGTGAGGCTACATTCAGTTGTGTAAATAAAGGAAAAATCCTTTTAAACTGGACATTGGGGCTGGCGCTGTGGCATAGCGGGTGAAGCCGCCGCCTGCAGTGCCAGCATCCCATATGGGCACCGGTTCAGGTCCCAGCTGCTCCACTTCTGATCCAGCTCTCTGCTATGGCCTGGGAAAACAGTAGAAGATGGCCCAAGCCCTTGGGCCCCTGCACCCGCGTGGGAGACCTGGAAGAAGCTCCTGGCTTCAGATCGGCACAACTCTGTTGGGGCCATCTGGAGAGTGAACCAGGAGATGGGAGACCTCTCTCTCTCTCTCTCTCTCTCTCTCTCTCCACATCTGTCTCTCTGTAACTCTGCCTTTCAAATAAAATAAATAAATCTTTAAATTGGACACTTCCTCCAGAAGACTCTTCGGAAGAAAAAATTGGAGCTTCTTCAAGAGAAATTCCAGAACAGGTGCAATAATTGCACAGGGGCCACCTCCATACTGTTCTATGCAGATCCCTCTGATTCAGTAAACACAAACTCTTGTGTCCAGCGACAGAAAACAGTGTCAGAGAGACCAGGGCTGATCTTGGTGCCCCACACCAGCTCCATCGGCTCTTTAGTAAGTTTGGACATGACAGCGTGCAGGTGGGCTGGTCTTCACGTTCAGAACTCCTGCCTGCGAACCTCTCACCCTGCTGTTTCGGGGGGCCAGGTTGGGGGTGGGGAGCTGGGAACAGGAGAGCATGCATTGAAAGAAGACTGAGTATCTGATGGATAAGTTTCTGTAGTTCAAATGTGGATATGGAAATCCAACATGGTGCAATTGAGAAACCACAGGACTGGGGTGTTAGGGGAGATCTCGGCACTGTCTGACCTGGAAGATCAGCCTGAGGAGCAGGGGCAGCTGGTGCACTCTCTTACACACCTCCGGGGAGGGGCTGCCATTGTCTTTGGGTCCTCATCAGATTAGATGGAGCTCCCTCAGCAACCTTACAGCCTGCATCCCTGCATCGTAAAAGCAGTGTGCCCTGGAGGTGTGCACTTGGCAGCCTACAGGTCTGACATGGCTGCTTGAAAGTGACCTGGTATTCCAGGGCATTCCGAAGCCTTGCAAGCTACAGCAAGAAACATGTTACTGATGGAGGAGAGAAGTTAGGTCAGGAAATAATGACACTTTTCTGGGAGACACACTTTCTCTAGTGCTCGTGGAAGAGAATGTCTATTTCCAGAAAGTGAATGATTTGCAGTCGTCCTGGGGCTCCACAACGTTCTCTTTTCAGTAGATGCTCTAATAGTTCACGTTAAACAAACAACGTGGAAAAGCCATTTATGCATATTACAGAAGGCTCATTAGCATAGATATCAGTAAGTGTTTGCGATATTAATTTTTTTATATACTTACAAGGCAACTGCAGAGCTAGCCTGCAGATGCATGAGCTGTGCAGGGGTTTAAATTTTTATGATTTCAATTTACTACCACCTGGGGCAGAGGGCTTTGGAACGCCTCGTTACTGAAGCTTCTTAATTTCTTGGCAAGACCTGAGTGAATGCTGGGATACTCCATGCAGTCAGCTTAGCACTAATAGATTTTTAAAGACAAACGCATTTAACATTTACGCTCCATGAGCTCTTGAAAAACAAAGCAATTACTTACACAGCATTAATTATACGAGCAGTCTCCTTCTGACGATCCAGATTCTTATCTACTGGAACCATCTCTGAATATCTACACATTAGGTGCTGAAAAAAGGAACAACAACACTGACAAACATCCTCTTCCGCACGGTCAGGGCATAAAGCTACCCAGAGCCTTTTCAGATCTGGGGGGCAATTGCTATAGCAGGCAGCATGCTAGCAGGGCACATGGTAACCATTCCTCCCTCTGTAGGGGCTTACATTACATGACACCAGTGGGGTCAGGCTCCTGCCCACTGCTCTGACTTCATCTGCCAGTTCCCTGACAGGGGCAGGCTCTCTGTTAGCCCTGAGAATACATGAGCTGTTTCCCACCTCCCACACCATATAGGTAATGTCCACACTGCTCTGGCCAGGACCAGGTTGGAACAAGTGAGGCACCACTTCAGCTACAAATTCTAAGGGTGCACCAGAAAATACCTCAGTAACCAGGATACATAATGTTAATGCTGGGCCCAGTGTTGCAGTGTTGCCAGCATCCTGTATCAGGGTGCTTTTTTGAGTCCGGGATGTTTGGCTTCCTATCCAACTTCCTGCTAACGCTCCTGGGGAGGCTGTGGTTAGGCCCCTGCCACCGATATGGGAGGCCCCGATGGGAGTTCCTGGCTCCTGATTTCAGTGTGGCCCAACTCTGGATGTTGTGGGCATTTGAGGAATTAACCAGCAGATGGGAGATCTCTCTCTCATTCGCTCCTTGTCACTCTGCCTTTCAGATACATGATAAATAAATCTTTTAAAGTATTGTAATGCAATAAGATCGAAATGAATGCCAAAAAGTCATGAAGCCATGAATATCAAAAGTTTAAAGAAAGACAGGATCCAATCCTGAACTCACCCAATTCCATCTCCCCTGCCTCACTCTAATCCTAGCCCTATTCCATCCTGCCTTTACATTTTTGATATTTTGTTGCCAGGGAGTTTTAATATTAATTTGTATTTTTAAAATATTGTGTAAGGGGCTGGCACCATAGCACAGTAGATTAATCCTCCACCTGCGGCACTGGTTCTAGCCCCGGATGTTCCTCCTCCAGTCCAGCTCTCTGCTGTGGCCTGGGAGGGCAGTGGAGGATGGCCCAAGTCCTTGAGCCCCTGCACCTGCATGGGAGATCTGGAGGAGGTACCTGGCTCCTGGTTTTGGATCGGCTCAGCTCTGGCTGTTGCGGCCATCTGGGGAGTGAACCAACGGAGGAAGATCTTTCTGTCTTTCCCTCTCACTATCTGTAACTCTACCTCTCAAATAAATAAATAAAAATCTTTAAAAATATTGTGTAAAATATGACTCATCTTGAGTAGAGTTTCTGGTCTCCCTTAAATTTTGCCCAGGGCAAGTGCCTCTCAGTAGCCTCAAGTGCCTCAGCCCAGCAGATCTCCTTGGGTCCCTTTTAACTTTTCCTGTCTGCCCGCCAGTACCCCGTCCCAACGCCCCTTTCAGAGGACCTCCTGCAGGCCCCTGGAGCCCACTTCCTCTGCACCAAGAGAGAGCTGCAAGGACCAGGGCACTTACGATTGGTCTGTGTTCCCCGCGTTGGCATGAGCTTTCCCAGAGGTGCACGCTTGCAGAGCTCTCCCTTCTACATCCGTCTCTAAGTGTTTCTTAGAGACCCGGAGGTAGGGCCTGTGCACCGGCTCCTCCCCGTGATCTGGACATTTTGTTAAGCTCTCTGAGTGGCCTGCTGCACCTCAGAGCTCACTGGTGTTGAAATGTCACCGACTCCTTTGACCACCAAAGTCCTTTTCTCCTGCTTTCTTTTTACAGGATTCTGTTTACTTTCTTCCTAGTGTTTCTGATTGTTTATAGTTACTTCCTTATTTGCTACTTTTCCTTGGTCATTGGGTCCTGCACTAGCAGTCAAATGTCAAAAGAACAGGAGCCATGCCAGTTCCTCTCACCAGGGTCCCCAGGCTCAGTACGATGCCTGGCACAGGACAAAGGAATGCCTGTCCTCGCCACCCACCCCGGGATCTCTCCTGCTAGAACTGGCCCACTCTTGAAAAATCTCGCAGTTTTTAGAGGAGTCTTGCAGTTCAGAAAAACACAGCAAGCTTGCCTGAAGGATTTGCGCTGTGAAAACCTATGAAGCTAAAAAGAAAAAGCAAAAATATCCTCCAGAGAAAAACCATTCACATTTTTTTAACCACCTGAGTCAGATCCTCTATATCAAAATTTTGTGGGTTTTTAATTTTTTTTATTTTATGTATTTGACAGAGTTAGACAGTGAGAGAGAGACAGAGAGAAAGGTCTTCCTTCCGTTGGTTCACTCCCCTAATGGCCGCTACAGCCAGCTCTGCGCCGATCCGAGGCCAGGAGCCAGGTGCTTCCTCCTGGTCTCCCATGAGGGTACAGGGCCCAAGCACTTGGGCCATCCTTCACTGCCCTCCCGGGCCACAGCAGAGAGCTGAACTGGAAGAGGAGCAACCGGGACTAGCACCTGGCGCCCATATGAGATGCCAGCACCGCAGGCAGAGGATTAACCAAGTGAGCCACGGCGCCGGCCCCTCAAAATTTTGTAATCTAGAGGAAAACAAAACATAATCACCCAATCACTACAAAGTGTCATGAAGATGTACAATAAGGGGGCAGAAAAATCAACAACCCACAAAAACCACAGACTTTGGTGTCCGGTTAGTGCTCTCTAGTCTTGGCAGGGACCTAGCTGCAAGGTGTTGAGGTTAAGATCTGTCAACAAGGGCACTGAGGGTGCATGTCGAATTCAGGCAGCAAATCAGAAGCCTAACTTCTTCTCCCCAGTGGCACAAGAAAACTGGAATTCACACTCTGTTTTACAAGGAGATTGTCCCAATATTTCCCTCTGCTTTCTCTGTAACCTTTTTTCTCTTTCCTTGATTGACTCTCAATGTGTCTCATTCCAGAACACATCTTCAAGTCATAGCTCGTGTATACAAATGCTAACGCCTCTTTTCCCAGAACCCCCTTCATTTTAAATACCTGTAGTTGCTCATCAATATAGGGGATTTTCAAAATTTCTATAGCAGATGGTCTCAGAGATGGATTCTTGTTCAACATGCTGCAATGTTTAAACAGATGATTTTTATTCAAATGAACTACAAAGTAAGTACACTTTAAAGTTGTCTCTATGACAACATCTTTATGTCCGTACCTTTCCATAATGGCATTTAGTTCTCTTGGATGTCTCTCGGGGAGGGAAGGTGTGTCACCCTCAACGATTTTTAAGACAATGGACAAGAAATTGGAGCCAGTGAATGCGTGACTCATGCAGCACATCTCATATAAAATGCATGCCAGCGACCTGAAGACAGAGCCAAAGAATTTAAATAAGGAACCACCGTTCTATTTTAAAGGTGTCCATCATGCTAAATCTCAGAGAGATGTATCAGGGGGATTGGCTGTGAGACACTAATATGCACTTCAGTCGTTTGTTTAAAAACTACAGTTCCATACTATTTTTTTTCATTTAAATACATGTTTTTCAAAAAACAAAAAAGAAAAAGTAAAGCATAAAGGAAGTCTGAATGACCACTTTTTGTAAAAGGAGGATGAGCAAACCAGGAGTTAGCAACATACCTGCACACAGCAAGGACTGTAAACATTTGATCAATATAGCAAGGAATTTTAAAATTTGCCTCTCTGAAGGAAAAACGAAATGCAGCCTAATGTTGTCTTCCTAGGGTAGTTTTGTTAATGTTGTATATGCAAAATAAAATTTTAATTTACGAGCCTAACCTTCCCTCTAATGTGTATCCAAGCATTTTGAAAAGGAAACTGGCATTCTTTATTGGTTTTCTGCATAGAATCCATTTGTAAGTAGGTTGGGAGAGCAGTTACTTGCAGCTCACATTAAAATGTGTAATGCTCCCTTGAGGAATATGGAGCAGAATATTAAAATTCTAGATCAATCCAACATTGACTTGAATTAACCATATAAATCAGTAACTGAAAAAACCAGCAGAAAAATATTTTCAATAGCTTTACATCATAAGTAAAACTACAGGAAAACTCCTGTCTGAACAATATTAAGAAATAACTGCAGGCTGGCGCCGCGGCTCACTGGGCTAATCCTCCGCCTTGCGGCGCCAGCACACCGGGTTCTAGTCCCGGTCGGGGCGCCGGATTCTGTCCTGGTTGCTCCTCTTCCAGACCAACTCTCTGCTGTGGCCCGGGAGTGCAGTGGAGGATGGCCCAAGTGCTTGGGCCCTGCACCCCATGGGAGACCAGGATAAGTACCTGGCTTCTGCCTTCGGATCAGCGTGGTGCGCCGGCCACAGCGGCCATTGGAGGGTGAACCAATGGAAAAAGGAAGACCTTTCTCTCTGTCTCTCTCTCTCAGTGTCCATTGTCAAAAAATAAAAAAAAAGAAAGAAAGAACTGCACTTTTTATGAATAATGGGTTATTTTTCTCTTATGAGCATTTGGTGTTATGAATTATGTAACTGGCCAGGTTTCCCTTTTCATGTTAGTTCCTTGAAAGATAAGGAAAAAAATTGTGATTCACTTTGTGTAAGTTTATCTTAGGTAGCTTTTAACAGTACTCCTTTTTTAAAAAAAAAAAATTTAATTATTTATTTGAAAGTCAGAGTTACACAGAGAGAGAAGGAGAGGCAGAGAGAGAGAGAGAGAGACGTCTTCCATCTGCTGGTTCACTCCCTAATTGGCCGTAACAGTCAGAGCTGTGCCCATCTGAAGCTAGGAGCCAGGAGCTTCCTCCGGGTCTCCCACATGGGTGCAGGGACCCAAGGACCTTTGGCCATCTTCCACTGCTTTCCCAGGCCATAGCAGAGAGCTGGATCGGAAGTGGAGCAGCTGGGACTCGAATCAGTGCCCATATAGGATGCCGGCACTGCAGGCGGCGGCTTTACCTGCTACACCAAGGCACCGGCCCCAACAATATTCTTTTTTCTAAAGATTTGTTTATTTATTTGAAAGGCAGAGAATTACAGAAAGGAAGATGCAGAGAGAGAGACAGAACTTCTATCCACTGGTTCACTCCCCAAATGGCTGCAATGGCCAGAGCTAGGATGAACCGAAGCCAAGAGCCTGTAGCTTCTTCTGGGTCGCCCATGCAGGTGCAGGAGCCCAAGTACTTGGGTCATTCTCTACTGCTTTTCCAGGCCATAGCAGAGAGCTGAATTGGAAGTGGAGCAACCAAGACTTGAACTGGCATCCATATGGGATGCCAGCACTGCAGGCAGCGGCTTTGCCCACTATACCACAGCACCGGCCCCAACAATATTCTTAATACAAGCAAGAGTACAGATAGACACATGGCGAACACTATCATTTAAGTATTTTGTGGGTACTCATGAATAAGTGCATTTGTAGAGAATTCTGAATATATCCAGTGAGACTCCTTCTGTTCTAGTACACAGTAATAGCACTAAAAATTTACAACTAATTGGTATTTATATTTTATAAAGCACATGTATCTCAACAGAAGCTATAAGTTCCCAGTGTAATAGAATCAATATCATATTTTGTCATTTTATAGATAAGGGAATTGGATCAGAGATGTTAAGTGACATGGCCAAGGTCACAGCTAAGTAAATGATGGAGCTGACTTTTGAATGAAAACATTTTTCTTTCCAAATACTGGACTATTTCCATTACAAAAAGCCAGAAACAAAGTGGCTATTAGAGGAAATCATGCGATCTCAACTAAACACCCAAGATCAATGTAAACATTATCAATTAGGAAAATTATTTGAAGCTCAATACATTTTACACCCACCTGTAAGACTTCTAAATAGTACCTGGCAGGGTAGCATAAACCTGTATTCTATACTAAGAAAAAATTTTCCTTCAATAGAAATAGGTATTTATACATAAGCAAAAGTAGAATTCATTACCAGTAGAAAAGCATTTTTAAAAAATGTGGGGAGCAACTCGGACTAGACTAAGTTACTCAAATTAAGACTTATTCTATGCATCTGCTCTCCCACAATATGGCGTTGGGAGAGGAGGAAACAGCTTCTACACAGCTGCCTCCAGTTCAACCAATAAACTGTAGGACCTGCTCCTGATTGGAGGAGAGCAGCGTACTCGGCGTGTGGGTAGCAGAGTTGGGATTGGTGGAAGAGGACTATAAAGGAGGAGAGACAACATGCATGGGGAACATCTATCTGAAGGAACACCTGTGCAGCCCCCGAGAGAGCCGGCCGGTGGTGTGCCGCTCCCCCACAGAAGTGGGGAAAGTGGCAGGGGGAACCACCCTTCCACGGAGGTGGAAGGGTCGGTAGCCAACCCGGGAAGAACCAGCAGCAAACCCGGGGAGGGCCGAGCAGACAAAAGAACAGTGCAGGGTCCTGTGTCGTTCCTCCGCGAAGAGGGGGAGCAACAAAAAAATCCTCAGAGGAGTTGCTTTTCTTCTTCTTCTACCTCTTATGGCATGAGAGCATCTGTTTTTAATTTGGTTGATACACAATTGACAAAATATATGAGAACAAAATGGTCTATGGGCCGGCACCGTGGCTCACTTGGCTAATCCTCCGCCTTGGGGCGCCAGCACCCCAGGTTCTAGTCCCGGTTGGGGCGCCAGATTCTGTCCTGGTTGCTCCTCTTCCAGTCCAGCTCTCTGCTGTGGCCTGGGAAGGCAGTGAAGGATGGCCCAAGTGCTTGGGTCTCTGCATCCACATGGGAGACCAGGAGGAAGCACCCAGCTCCTGGCTTCGGATCGGCGCAGCGCTGGCAGTAGCGGCCATTAGGGGAGTGAACCAACAGAAGGAAGACCTTTCTCTCTGTCTCTCACTGTCTATAACTCTCTCTCTGTCTCTCTCACTGTCTAACTCTGCCTGGCCAGAAAAAAAAATAATAATAATTATTATGAACAGATACAGGTAGTTACAGAAAATTTAATAAATAGGCATGTCTGTACAATGGAGTTACCTTAACAGAAGTGATCCCAGACAGAAACAAGGAGAGCAAGAAGAAATAAAGATCATCAAAAAGAGTAATTTTGCAAATATATAAAAATAATATTAACTTTATAAAACAATACTCATGGGGTTTAACTTATGTAGAATAAAAATTCATGACAAAAATAATGTGAAAGACAGAAGAAGATAGAGTTAAAATATGCTAAGGTGCTAGCATTCCCAGAAAGTGATAAAAATATTAATTTTCACTAGACTGTAATAAGTCAAGGATGAATGCTGTATTTGCTAGGGATATCACCAAAAGAACAATAAAGTAATGTATAATTGACAAGTATATAAAAAATCCAGGGCACAGTGGGTTAAGCTGCCGCCTGCAGTGCTCACATCCTGTATGAGAATCCTTTCAAGCCCTGAATTCTAATCCACTCCACTGCTGATCCACCTCCCTGCTAATGTGCCTGAGAAAGCAGTGGAAGATGTCCCAAGCACTTGGGCCCCTGCTCCCATGTGGGAGACTTGGATGGAGTTCCAGGCTCCTGGCTTCAGCCTGTCTCAGCCAGAGCTATTACAGCAATTTGGGGAGTGAACCAGCAGATGGAAGATTCTCTCTCTCTCCCCCTCCCTCCCCTTCCACCCCTCCCCTCATCTCAATATCTCAATAACTCTGCCCTTCAAATAAATAAATAAATAGAAAAGGAGTATCAAAGGTGAAAAAAAAACAAACTAAAAAAACTTAAAGCAAGAAAAGGAAAAAAAAGGAATATAAAACAAATAGGACAATTGAACACATTTATATAGAAAACTAATAGAACCAGTGTATTCTTAAAGTTGTATCTATGAAAAATGTATTCATTACATAAAAAATAAAAAAGCAAAAAAATAGTCACAGGGTAAATAAAATACAAATATATTAAATATAAATTTGGAATACTCCAACTGAAAGCACTAAGATTATCAGACTGCATAAAAAGTGTGTATTGCTTACAAAACAAAAGTTCATGGTTTTTTCCTTTGGAGTTCAGGAAGGAAATAAGGATGCCCACCATCACTTCTATTCCACTTGTAATGAAGGTGTTTCCCAGCACAATGATGCCTTATTACACACAGACCATGAAGATTAGAAAACAAGACATTGTCATTAACCCATCAACATGATTGTGTATGTTAAAAATTCAAAAGATGTTATAAGCTATTAGAATTAAGAAAATTTAGCAAAGATGGTGGGTGCAAAGGCATCTCTTGTTTACAAGCCTTCAACAAACACCTTCAAGAATGAAATTTAAAATATCATTTACATGAATATTACAAAATGTCAAACATCTAGTAATGAATCTAATAGAAAATGTGCCAGATGCTACAATGTAAGCCGTAATACAAAGCTAAGAGAAATTAATACAGACCTTAAAAGAAAATAGTGAGA